TGAGTGTATTTTCTCTTCCATGATGCAAAAGACTGAGAGGCAGTTTGTATTGATATATCTATTCACACCAGAAGGGTAACATTTTTTTTTTGAGGCTGTGTATTCAGTTCTTATCACCGACTTGTGGGAAAACAAAACAAAACAAAAGGAAAACACTTCTGTCTCCACACTGAAGTATCTTTAATGAGCTTCTGCACAAAATAACAGAGTGGGTTAGTGGAAAGAGCCCAGAAATGACTCTGTTGTGCCCAAATTATGAACCTCCAAATCACCAAGAAGCCCATTTCAATGTAAAAACAGAGAGTCTTTTATTGTAGATATTTAATGAGTAAAACCCACTAGCTCTGGCCCTTTACCCTGCCACCATGGTGAATGGCTGGAGAAAGAAGACCCCCACCGAGCAACCTGGAGGCAGGGATCTTAAAGGACAGCTTAAGGGGAGTGTCTAGGGGTAAGCAACAGTCTCAGGATTGGTGTGCTTCTAAGTTTGGATGACCTGCCCTGTGTTGATTTGTCAACTGGTTGTTATGGCCCGTAGGCCCTCCCAGGGCAGTTGCTATGCTCTGTATGTCACTGTTATGCACACCCAGAGCTGTAAAGCACAGCCCTGCCAGCTAACTTCTGATTGGTTCCTTGCCACAAGGAGGGCATCTGACCTCCTAGTGACCAGGACAAGAGCTACAAGGTCATGAAAGCACATGGTAGCCTGTCATGGCTGCTAAAATGGGGAGGCTGGTCAGTACAACTCAAGATATAGAGCTAATAGTCAAAGTTGAATGATTGTTCAACAAAGAAATTCACCTCCAGGTCATAGCCTCCCTATCCAGAAAATTTGTCTTTTTTGAGTTTAGATTACTGCACTCAGGATGATTTTTCTAACTCTATCCATTTATTTGAAAATTTCATGATTTTGTTTTTAATGGATATTAAAGATATTCATTAAAAGATATCATTGTGTAAATGTACATCATTTTCTTTATTAATTCCTACTTGATGTACATCTAGTCTGTATCCAATTTCTGACTATTGATTTAAAAAAGGCCTGCTTCTAAAGTTTTCACTCAGTGTTCAAAAAAAAAAAAGGAACTACAAATAAGCAAAGGAACTAAAATCCTAGGGAAAAAGTTATTGACTCACACACAATTGCTCCTCTACATGTTCCTTTCTTCTTCTTTTCTTCCCTTTTCTCTCTGTCTCTCCCAAGTTCTTGGGGGTATGTGTGTATATATATATATATATGTTTGCAACAGTATTTCTTTTTGCAAAACAATGTGAGACTTGGCTTTCTCAGGGTCACCAAGGCAAATTAATTTACACACAGAGCAATAAACTAAAACTTCTAGGAGAAACATTTATCACCAATTGATTGGTGCTGTGGGTCAAGGAGAGGGTCTAAGTTCAGTTTGCACAATAAACAGAACATGGTACCTTCCAGTGCTCTGGACTCAGTAGAGGCACAGGCTTTCGGGAAAGTTTGCTTTTCCCTGAGGATGAGCAAATTGCCTGATTACCTTTGCCATTATCTTCTCAGGGGAAACAGAAGGAAGCAGTAAATCTCTGAGCTAAGATCTTGGGATGAAGGTAAAAGCAAGACTGTTGAGAATCTTTTAGTGCAGGGTTAGTTTAGGTTATCATTTCTCTATCTACCAAGGAGGTAAAACCAGGGCATGCTTATTTTTTCTCTCCATCTAGGCAACTATGAATCAACAACTTTGGGCAAGTAGTCATTCTGTCCTTGGATATCTGGGAATGTCTTAGATGGAAGGCTTTTGCCTGGGCCTTAAGCACTTACCAAATGCCTGTCAATAATGATAATTACAAGTAGGCAGATCTCTATAATTATAATGGAGAGGGGAGCAAAGCCTTGATAGTGGGAGACAGGTTTCACACATAGCTAAGGAATGTAATCAGTAAATTCCAAATGCAGGGGAGAAATTGTTCCTGGAAAATGATCAGATAGTACTTAACTGTGGGAAGTAGATCCCAAATTTGTTGCCAAACGGAATAAGCTACAGGAAGAACCTACAGAAAGAAACAGCCACTTTTATTCATAAGAGTATATTACAATACCCCTTGCATCTTGGTCTAATCTATCAGAAGTATCTTTAATTCTTTCGAGTCATCTCATGAGAAGATGGCTGTCTAATTGCTGTGTGATCTTGTGGCTTGTAGCAACTAGTGTGAATAAAGCAACAATAAACATGGTTGAGCAAGTAAGTGTGTCTGTAGTAGAATGCAGTGTCTGTTAGTTATATGCCCAAAAGAGGTATAGCTGGGTCTTGATATACGTTTACTACATCTACTTCCAGCTTCCTGATGAACTGTCCAACTGGTTTCCATACAGGCTATACAAGTTTGCACTCCGACCAGCAATGAATGCGTGTTCCCCTTACCCCACATCAGCGTCAAAATGAACTGTCACTTTTTTTTTATTTATCTTAGTTATTCAGACTGATGTAAGACTTAGACTCAAAGTAATTCCCCTTATTTTGAGGAAGCTGGCAAAACCCAAATGTGAGACTCAGTTTCACAGTAGGAACCTAAGAGGCTCCTCAAATTTCCACCTTCCATGATAGATTCTACAGTGCATGCTCCTGCTTGGAGGTAGAAAAGAGACAAGAGGATAATGAATTCAAAGCCAGTCCAGGATACACAAAGAGTCTGACACTGGTCTGGGTTACCTAGTAGGGCCCTGTAACAATTTCATCAAAATAAGAAATTTAAAATACTGAATTTTTAGTGTAAAAAGTAATATAATGTGATATAGCATAAATAACAAATTATTCTTTAACATAAAAACATATACATGTTATGGCTCTTCGGGGGCATAATGGCACTCTGACTTCTACACTGGATACACAAGGTTTGCATACTTGTGTCTCCCAAAAATGGTGGTGTATTTTACTAAGAGAACATGGATACTAACATCCAAAGGAAGTTGGATTTTATGTTTTACCTGGACAATTCAAGTTCAGCACAGTTGTCATTTGCACTGGTGGGACCCTGTGCTGTAAAGGGCTATTCTAGTCACTGCTAGGTATTTAAGAGAGTTCATACATCTTATTTAGTAGAGCCTAGTAACACATCTGCCTCATTTTGAATAGTGAAAATATCTTTCATTTCCAAGTACCCTTTGAGAAGGAAAACCATACCAGATTGAGAATCTCTGTACTTGACCAGTCTTTCTAGATAAAAACATATAATCTAGATAAAAACATGACAAAGACTCCATGTATGACTTTTCCTGCAGTTGTCATATGAACCTTAAAGAGCTCTTTCTGTGTTCATATTAACTTCATTTCAACTTTTATTCCTACCGCTTATGTATTCCAGTGTCACTGTTCTCCTTGCAATGTATAGTGCTAGTTGGCCTTTGGGATTCTTCCTTCTCTGTGAAACACACCCCCTCAGATTGTCCATTTATTTAACTCGAATACGTGCTTTCCTTTTATATTTAATCATCTATTTAATATTCTAACCTTACAAGACTTTTTTACTGAACATTTTTCTCCAAATTTTTTTGTTGTTTTTTATTTAAATTAGAAACAAACATATTTTACATACCAATCTCAATTCCCACTCACTCCCCTTCTCTCCTGCTCTCCACCGAGCCCCTATCCCATCACATTTCTGCTCTAAAGGTAGGGTGAGGCCTTCCATGGGGGATCTTCAAAGTGTCTCACATCATTTGGAGCAGGGCCTAAACTCTCTCCCTTGTGTCTAGGCTGAGAGAGTATCCCTCTATCTGGAGTGGGCTCCCAAAGTCCAGTTGTACACTAGGGATAAATACTGATCCACTACCAGAGACCCCATAGATTTCCCAGTCCTCCAAACTGACATCTCTGTTCAGGGGGTCTAGAACAGTCCTATGCTGGTTTCCCAGCTATCAGACTGGGGTCCATGAGCTCCCCCTTGTTCAGGTCATCTGTTTCTGTGGGTTTCTCCAATCTGGTCTTGACCCCTTTGCTCATCATTCCTCCCTTTCTGCAACTGGATTCCAGGTGTTTAGTTCAGTGTTTAGCAGTGGGTGTCTTCTCCTGCTTCAAATAGCCACTGGAAAGAAGACATTTTTTAAATATATACATATATATATAACCCAGACCCTTAGCATTTTCCTTCCCTGTTTGATTTTGCATTTTCTCTCCTCCTCTCTCCCTCACTTTCTCACACCATACTCTTTTGCTATCCTGTAGATTTTCAACTGTGTAACTTTCCCAGAAATTCTAACGTACGTTTCAAGACTACACTATGTGATTTATGCTGTTTAAGTATTTACTACATTTAGGATCTATGTTGTCTCTTAGAAAACAAACTTCACAAGGACAAGGGTCTTTGTCTTTCTCGTTATTCTTGAATATTTTCCCTTATTTGTGCATAGCAGATGCTGTATACATAGGTGTATAGGTGGAATTGAGGCAGACCTGTGTTTGGTCAGGCCTCCCGTTTGGACTATCTTCTCTCTTCTAAATCTGAAATTGTGGTCTGCAATACACACCCATTGCCCTGTAATCATTCCTGCTACGGGGAGGTTTCTATGCTTTTCCTCACTCACTCTCATCCTGTCTGCCCATGTTTGTCTTAGTACTGGCCCATGCCTCTTTGCCCCTGGGCTGCCTGGAGCAGCATAAGGGAAACCCTAACATTCAAGATCTCAAATAGCTGATTCCTCAATTCCTAGAGTCAGTTTATCTGTCAAAAGGAAAGATTCAAAAAAGGCTTGAAACACTCTGATCTTGCATTGCTGTGAGCTAAATGACTGATGGAGAGGACAAAGGAACTCCTTCCTGATCTTTATGTTTGGGTTTATTTACCACTATGGTTGCTAAATAGAAAGGCCAAGATGGGGGTGGGAATGTCATCCTCTCTATACTGTCTGGGGAGAGGCAGAGAAGGTATCTTTGAAAAAAGCAGCGGTGTGTGGGGACACCAGGAATCCACGTCTTGCCTGAGAGACAGCCCTTGCTGACCCAGTTTCAGCGCTACAACGCCTGACACAGCACTGTGATCTGCAACTTTAATAACTTGGTGACACACAAAGCAGTCTTGATGCAAAACGGAGCTGACAGAGCAGCAGAGGAAAGGCTCTGCATGTTGCTGAGCTGTGTGGGGAATCCACTCAAGGTGACTGCAACCTTCCCAGTGCAGCGACAGTCCAAGTTTGCACCTGTGCATAAAGAAGGTTGGCCTGTTTTCCAGGAAGACAAATGTAGGGATGGCACACAGCCACAGAGAAGGGGATGTTCCTGGAAGGACAGGCTGATACAACCTGTTCTGCTTTGATATCGTGCTCTCAGTATCCCCGCCATCCCCCTTTTCATGCCTCTGCCCCGACATCATCCAGGTGTCTGTTGATGGTTATCATGAGAGCTGCATAGTGTCCGCCAGACCTGAGACTACTCCCATTCTTTCTTTTTCATGGTCAAACTGTTATCTTCAGAGAGTGCATCAATGATCATGTCGCTTTTGACCTTAAGTCCTTCCCAGCCATCCATTCCTGCAGAGGAACGATAGATGCCAGACACAGTTATCTGAAGTGAGTTCTCTAAGCTACCTTTTAGCTTCTCCCACTCACTCCAATTTATTCCTGGTCACCTCTACCTTCTACTGCCTCCATCAGATCGAGCCATAGTTTCCTCATTGCAATTAGTTGAACAGACATCATGCATTTCAATCCCTGATGTCCTCAGGTCATGACCATGCCATCATCATCTAAATGCTCTCTGTGCTTGGGAGGCTCAGAATTTCACACAGTAGTCTTTTTTTTTTAATGTTGAACAGTTCTCAATCTCTGCATGACTGTGAGTATGAAACACAGACTTCTCTATACCTTCAGTATGTCACTGTTCCCATGCATGCCTCATTGCAAATGCTCTGTAGGATCAGTCTTCTAAGAAGACTGACCAGTTGTTCACAACATAAAGATTTTTTTCCTCTTTCATATATCCCAGGTTCTCTTTAGAATCAATGGAGGGAGAATTGTACCTTGCACATGTGAAGATAATCATAATAATTAGAAGCTATAATAATCACATTTAACAGCTGTTCTTGGCCCTTGGAAATGGGCGTTTGAACCTAAGTCATATGATTTGAATGACTTATGCTCGTATTTATTCATTAGCAGTAAAGTACACAAACTAAAATATAGCTCTTGTCTGTCTGTATATATTGGAGAGGGATGAAGAGTCATGTAAGTAGAAATTTCAACTTAGTGTGACAAGACATAAGATGGACTGTTGGATGACTGAAGAGACATCCCTCACCTCACTTGAGACATAAATGCTCAAGAAAATAGTATGTATGCATGTACATGTATGTATGTATGTATTGTTATCTACATAAAGACTTGGAAACTCATAAGAGTTCCCCAGGCCAAGGGAGTGGACAAGCACAGTTCTTGTGGTGTACACAGCAAGAAGAAAGACACACGGGTAAGCTAACCTGCATTTTCAGCTGCCTCAGAAGACTGGACATTTCCTTACCAGGGAAATATATATTAAGAGGTCAAACCCTGTTTCCAGCCTGCAATTCAAATAGAGCTCTAGAATACAGAGATTACTGGAGATTGTAATCGGCAGGACAATCTCTCTGGAAGGGGGAGTCTTTAGGTGGATCTGGAAGGAAGAACACATTATGGATAGCACAGAGGAGAGGAGATGGATATCTATATGCAAATACATCCACACACCTACATCTACTTCATATGCATTTAAACCTTAAATTGACTTTCACTTGCCTTCTACTTTGGTTTCCATAGTAACCCTGGCCACTTATTTTTCTCTTAACCTCCTTTTCATTGTTTCCGGATGAGGTGGGTTGCATGAGGGTTAACCAGTCAGGGGAAGACAAGAGATTTTAAAGCAATTATTTGGACTATTTTTTTAAAGAAAATCGCTAACTTTGCAATTTAATGCAAACTGTCTCTGGTATATTTGCCCTGAAGGATGCTGTAGGGAGAAACAGGAGCCTTTTCGTTCCCTCCTCCCTGACTTCTATTATTATCGTGCACTTACTGCTAATACAGCATCTAAACTTGCAATCTCTGTAACTATGGCAATAAAATGGGTGAGATTCCTTTCCATTATGATGAGAATTGTTAGGACTTCACAAACAGCACGTGCATTTGCACAGGGGAAGAGAAAGATACACTCTGGGGAAAACAGTTATTTCAACTCCCTATGATGCCTTGGACATCCTGGTCTAGCAGTCCATAGCCATATGGAGAATTATTAGCATCACTGCCACCTCATGCCAGAAGATTCAGAAGCAGTACTTGGTGGGTGTTATGTACATCCCGAGCTGGGAGAGCATACCTGTGCACTGTGTGCGGGGTCAGAAAGCTATGTCTGTGAAGAGCTTGAGGTGTCAGTGGTAGGCAAGACAGAAGGTTCTATTCCAGAAGCCCCGAAGGACAAAATAGTTTGCCATGTCTTGAGGTTCATTTTGTCACTACACTTTCAGACCTGCCTTACAAAAAACAAACAAAACAAAACCAAAATTACAAAACAAACACCAGTACAGATGAAACAGCAAGGTGTATGCAGCCTGTGTTCCAATGCAGTTTTATTCATGGACATTGATATCTGAATTAGAATGTTTTATGCTTGTCATTGAGAGAAACACTGATATCACTTCAGAATGAGAATACTGAAGACTCAGAATAGTCAATGCTTGGCAAACTTATTTTTCAGATGCTGGGCATCCACTTGGACAAGAGGCATACATGGTTGGTTTGCCAGTTGCAGGATAAAAATTTACATCTTCTAAGAATCTTTCTATAGCATTTAATGTGATGATCCAGAACCAAAATAATTCATTGGTAATAAATGTATACTATATATGGTAGTTCCCAAGTCTTCCCCAAACTATTCTTGGTGCTAGTCTCTGACTTGGCATTTACTTTGAACTAAGTAACATATTCATATCCAACTGGCTTGCCTTGGCACTGTTAGATTCCTCTGTGGGCCACAAATTTCCTACCATTAGATGCTATTCTCAACCGTCCTACTTTTTTCCCATCTCCCCCAGGTCCATTAGGAAGGGGGTTCTGGGAATTCTGGGTTAGTCAGGGGAGAAGAACTCCCTATGGCTGCAGGCAGAGGATCACTGCCTTAATCTCCAAGGAGACAAGGGATGTTAATGATTCACAACAGTTTCACAGAGAATAATGAGGACTATGAATACAAAAGTGACCAATTTACCTATTACAGCTCTTACTCTAGCTGACTAAATACATCTTCTTCTGCATGTGCCTGTCATGCAGGAGAGAGAGTTCCATGAGGCCTAGGGTTCTCCCTTGAGCCTGAGTTGCTTTATTTTAAATATTTGGGTACAGCTTTTCTGAACAAGGTTACAGTTGACTCTGTGGAGTAGAGTTTGGGGAAACCAGGTGCCCTTCCCAGCCCTTGCTATTTCTGTTGAGGTCATGCGAAAGGTTATGTTCTCCACCTCCAGAGATCAGCCCTTACTGTCCCTCCCATATTTCTCCTAAGGAGCACACACATCTGTTTTTTGAATCCATTACTTTGCAAGCATTGATGAGATTTTTTCCTATCCAGTCCCTAGGAAATGACTGCAGGTCTTTCTTTGGAAAGAACATTAGCTGGCCCTGTGCTAAGCAAATGCATTCAGCCTCTCCATATCTGATTTCTCCTTTTCTCATTTGTCAGCAAAGGAGAAACCTCCTCGCTATTAATCAAACTCCTGGCTGTGGATAATTTCTGCAGAGACTCTGGGCTGGATAAGGAATGTTCAACTTTACCAAAGTGAGCTGGCTGCCCAGCATGGAAAAGAAACAATTAATTACCTGTTTTTCCTGTCCACAACAGAAATGCAGATGAACTAACAATGTTGTGGCTGGCACCAAATTTTCACTTCCCAAGGTGGAAGGGAATGACCAAGATGACATTTATGAAGTGGATGCCTGAATGGGAGTTTATCTGTCAGGCTCTGGTTGGGCCCATACATATGTCTCTGTTGAGCATCTTTATATTAATATGGATGCTGCCTTGCTCCATTCCTTTTTGAGGGAAGTGGCTAAGATGTTCTCTAAAGAGGGTGTAGTGTAACACAGATGTTCCATTTGGAGGTGAAATATTTAAAGTGGAGGGAAGGGCAGGAGAAGATATTCACCAATCCCACATCTGACAGAGGGCTGATCTCCAAAATTTGCAAAGAACTCAAGAAGCTAGTCTCCAAAAGACCAAATAATCCAATTAAAAAGTGGGGTATGGAGCTAAATAGAGAATTCTCAATAGAGGAGTGGAAAATGACTGATAGACAGTGCTCAGTATCCTTAGCTTTTAGGAAATTGCAAATCACAACAACTCTGAGATACCATCTCACTCCTGTCATAATGGCTAAAACCAAAAACACCAATGACAGTTTATGCTGGAGTGGATGTGCAGAAAGAAGAACACTCCTCTACTGCTAGTGGGAGTGCCAACTTGGACAGTCACTTTGGAAATCAGTATGGAGATTCCTCAGGAAAATGGGAATCTGTCTATCAAAAGATCCAGCAATTTCACTCTTAGGCATATACCCAAAAGGTGCACATTCATGCAATAAGGACATCTGCTAAACTATGTTCATAGTAGCATTATTTGTAATAATCAGAACCTGAAAGCAACCTAGATGCCCCTCAACGGAAGAATGGATAGAGAAAATGTGGTACATTTACACAATGGAGTACTACTTAGTGGGAAAAAAAAGACAAAAAATAATGGAATCTTGAAATTTTCAGGCAAATGGATGGCACTAGAAGAAAGCATGCTAAGTGAGGTAACCCAGTAACAAAAACACAAATATGGTACATAATCATTCATATGGATTTTAGACATGAAGATATGAAGCAGTGGAGTACCAGCCTACCATCCCACTGCCAGAGAGTCTGGGAAACAGGGGGGACCCTAAGAGAGATATGCGTGGTACCGCAGAGAAGGGGAAGGGGACAGGTTCTCCTGAGAGGATTGGGAGCATGGGGGGAGAGATGGGGAGAGGGATCTGGAAAAAAGAGAGGGGCTGAGGAGAAGAGGAGGGGAAAGGACTTGGGGAGCAGGAATGTGAGTCAGGGAAAGAATCGAGGAGAACAGGGTAAGAGATACCATAATAGAGGGAGGCACTATAGGTTTGAGGAGAGATCTGGCACTAGTGAGATTTCCAGAGATCTACATGGATGTCACCAACTGGCAATCTAAGCAATAGTGGAGAGGCTACCTTACATGCCCCTCCCTGATAATGAAATCAATTACTAATTTGCATGCCATCCTAGAGCCTTCATCCAGTGGCTGACACCCACAGCTAAACACTGAACTGAACTCCTGGAACCCACTGACAGAGAGGAGCAGTGATGAGCAAAGGGGTCAACACTGGAATAGTGAAACCCACAGAAACAGCTGACCTGTACAAGGGGGAGGTCATGGTCCCCAGCCTGATGGATGAGAGGCCATCATGGAACTACCACCCTGAAAGTGGGTGTCAGAGATGAGGCCTCGACAATCTATGGGGCCTTTGGTAGTGGATCAGTATTTATCCTTGGTGGACAAATTGAATTTGGGAGCCCATTCCACATAGAGGGATGCTCTCTCAGCCTGGACACATAGGAGAGGGCCTAGACCCTGCCTGGGATGATATGACAGACTTTGGAGATTGCCATGGAGGGCCTCATTCTCCCTGGGTAGCAGAGCGGGAATGGAGTGGGGGGTTGGGGGGCCTGGTGAGGGTACAGGGGAGGAGGAGAGAGAGAAGAGGTGACATGTGAAGCAAACTTGTTTCTAAAATAAACGTTTTTAAAAGGGATTTTGTTATAAACTGTTTGTTCTAAGCCCAATATAGGTGACCATGGATCTGGAAAAGGAGTTAGGAGGCCAAGAATGGCATGTCTCACTGTGTAAGTATTTCACGTGAACTTTTTGTAGGCACAAAACAAAAGGTAGCTATCGATCAAGCCATTTACTAAATGCATTGATGGGAGCATGGGGGTAGATTGCATAGCACTTTTATCTCTGCTCTACTCTCAGCTGCAATCTGATGACACTTGTAGCTTCTAGGTTGCTAGAAGCTAGTGTCTTGATAATAAGTATTAATATATTCAAAAAGTTCTGATAGTCACAAGGATGCCAGGGCAGACAGCAGGACAGGTGATAAACAGCTACTAAGGTAACTAAAGACAGTGGAAGATAATTTTGGCTGACCATTTGCAACATTCCAATTCTCTACAATCACAGAACTTCTAATCCATGACATTGGAGGTGACACTGTACAGATGTACAGAGAAAATGAATCTGAACGGACTGTCCTGAGTTTTTCTTTACTAGATTAATGGATTCTATCAGGCCATATAAACTTTCTTTGTCTTAGTTTCTTTATGGCACTCTCGGAGGACTGAATGAGAAATGCCAAATAATCACAATGTGAGTATAAAGAACTAATTATTCATCCCTCAAAAAATGTGGCAAGTAATAAATGCACTTTGCATTTATTTATTTTAACTGCACAATAACGTTAAAGATGTATTATTTCTTAAAATTGTGTGTGTGTGTGTGTGTGTGTGTGTGTGTGTGTGTGTGCCCACAGAAGACAGAAACTTTGGATCCCTTGGAGATGGAGTTACATGGAGTTGTGAACCACCTAATGTGAATATTGGGAACAGAGTTCTTTTCCTCTGATAAGGAGAAATACTTGCTTTTCACTACAAGTATTTAACTGCAACTTTGCTTTCATTGGTAAATGCGGTTATCATAAGCTTAGTGGTTAGTCAATGTGCCAATGGTTGCACAATCTGAAAGTGGTTGCCAGTCAGTGGCTTTGGTCACCATTCATCTCTCTTTAGTAAACACTGGGCATCACTTGCACGTCTTTATGGTGTTGGTTTGTCTACCACTAACGACTGCCTTCCAGTCTCCCTTTTTTTCTGTCTCTGCTACCGAGGTGACTATTCACGTCACTTCTCTACTATACCCTGGATTCCTAGAACACTTTCCAAAGGACCTTTCATACTCTCTGTATTCAATTGATGCCCTTCCTGTGTCGTGTGAATAAATGGGGAATGACCTTGTTTGTTTAATAGAGTAATGGCATTTGCATAGTGGTCTGTGGTGGATCTTTGTTGAAACTCCCATCTTTTACAATCCTACATTAAAACCTGACTTGGTGGGTGGGCAGCTCCCAGAAATTGAGAGGCAGAGGCAGGCTGAACTCTGTGTGTTTGAGGCCAGCCTGGTCTACAAAGGTACACAGAGAATTCTTGTCTCAACCCCCCCCCCCCCAAAATCCAAAAACTGACTTGGTTAGCTTCCCTCGTTTCCTCTGTTCATTTCATCTGTCAATCTACTTAAGGAGTCACAGACAAGTGGCACATTTTTAAAACACACAGGTTCTTTAAAGCTAGTCTCCAGCAATAGAGGCTGTGTTAGCTTGAGTATGTCACCTTGGCGACTGCCGGGGTCCTGCCTGCACCAGTCCTACATTGCAGGGGCCATCTATTCTGGACTGATGTCTTTAGGAGTATGTTTGGAACCAGCTGAACTGCCCT